TGTAATCCGGATCTTCCTGAGTTTTACCACACATCTATACTGACGGCATTAATAAAGGAACGCATCCGAGGGGCACCATGTTTTACCTCAACTCGGCAGTTGACAAACCAGATAGACGCATGTCATAGCTCAGCTGTAACTTAGCAACATAGTCGGGCGTGTCTGTACAGGAGGAAGTCCGAGTGTCTGTACAGGGGGAAGTCCGAGTGTCTGTACAGGAGGAAGTCCGAGTGTCTGTACAGGGTGAAGTCCGAGTGTCTGTACAGGAGGAAGTCCGAGTGTCTGTCCAGTCCTGGAAGTAACGGAGACAAGGTCCGAGTGTCTGTCCAGGAGGAAGTCCGAGTGTCTGTCCAGTCCTGGAAGTAACGGAGACAAGGTCCGAGTGTCTGTCCAGGAGGAAGTCCGAGTGTCTGTCCAGGAGGAAGTCCGAGTGTCTGTCCAGGAGGAAGTCCGAGTGTCTGTCCAGTCCTGGAAGTAACGGAGACAAGGTCCGAGTGTCTGTCCAGGAGGAAGTCCGAGTGTCTGTCCAGGAGGAAGTCCGAGTGTCTGTCCAGGAGGAAGTCCGAGTGTCTGTCCAGGAGGAAGTCCGAGTGTCTGTCCAGTCCTGGAAGTAACGGAGACAAGGTCCGAGTGTCTGTCCAGGAGGAAGTCCGAGTGTCTGTCCAGGAGGAAGTCCGAGTGTCTGTACAGGAGGAAGTCCGAGTGTCTGTCCAGGAGGAAGTCCGAGTGTCTGTCCAGGAGGAAGTCCGAGTGTCTGTCCAGGGGGAAGTCCGAGTGTCTGTCCAGGAGGAAGTCCGAGTGTCTGTCCAGGAGGAAGTCTGAGTGTCTGTCCAGGGGGAAGTCCGAGTGTCTGTCCAGGAGGAAGTCCGAGTGTCTGTCCAGGAGGAAGTCCGAGTGTCTGTACAGGGGGAAGTCCGAGTGTCTGTACAGGAGGAAGTCCGAGTGTCTGTCCAGTCCTGGAAGTAACGGAGACAAGGTCCGAGGGTCTGTACAGGAGGAAGTCCGAGTGTCTGTCCAGGAGGAAGTCCGAGTGCCTGTACAGGAGGAAGTCCGAGTGTCTGTCCAGGAGGAAGTCCGAGTGTCTGTCCAGGAGGAAGTCCGAGTGTCTGTACAGGAGGAAGTCCGAGTGTCTGTCCAGGAGGAAGTCCGAGTGTCTGTCCAGGAGGAAGTCCGAGTGTCTGTCCAGGAGGAAGTCCGAGTGTCTGTCCAGGAGGAAGTCCGAGTGTCTGTCCAGGAGGAAGTCCGAGTGTCTGTACAGGAGGAAGTCCGAGTGTCTGTCCAGGAGGAAGTCCGAGTGTGTGTCCAGGGGGAAGTCCCAGTGTCTGTCCAGGAGGAAGTCCGAGTGTCTGTCCAGGAGGAAGTCCGAGTGTCTGTCCAGGAGGAAGTCCGAGTGTCTGTCCAGGAGGAAGTCCGAGTGTCTGTCCAGGAGGAAGTCCGAGTGTCTGTCCAGGAGGAAGTCCGAGTGTCTGTCCAGGAGGAAGTCCGAGTGTCTGTCCAGTCCTGGAAGTAACGGAGACAAGGTCCGAGCAGCCGAAGCTCCATAGTTTTCGGAAACGGTCAGATACGTGGGATTCCACCGACTTATACACAACCCTATACTCCCTTTCTCTGATCCTGCATTTACTAACTGAATTGTCAGTTAACACCAGTTGACAATAGCGGAACTTCTTTTTTCCTACCATTTGTGTGTCGCTAGCGAGATTCGAACCCGCGAAGTCCGCACCGAAAGCTTACGAATGTAGTCTTCTGGCACAGCGACAAGGGAAAAATTGTATGAACATATCAAGTCATAGCATATTTACTTACATCAGTACTACTATTTTATGCTGTATGTTTAATGTTACTCCATGATTGTACGTACGTGTGATTTTAATTTGGAAGCTTTTCGTTCAAGGAAACGAAAAGAGAGAAAGGAAATTACTATTATCTTGATCAGGACTGTGTTTGCTAATAAGCCCATTAACATTGGTATGTTATATTTAGGTGCGGCACGCATGGCGACTCACACAGTGTTCTCACAGTTAAGCATATAGCTCCTGAATATCTTTCAAAATAGTTTTAACAAAACAATGTTTTTAAAGTATTTTGGTGCTATGAATGTTGGCCATGGTTTAAATAGGTTACACCACGAGGATCCGATGTTTATTCGTTGAAATGGTCAGTTAAACCTCCAGGCGAGGAGCATGTACAGGTGAGACCACGAAGATCTGATGCGCTGAAACCGTTCTGTGATGCACGTAGATTAGGTCCTCTGTCGTTCATGAACGTGCGCCAAGCTCCGTCGTGAGTTGCAATGTCTTTACAGTTTTGTTGGGCCCTAAACGAGTCATTGCTTGACCATAGTTATATCCTCACCGTGAACATCCGGGTTAGAGCTGGTATGAATTCAGCAACCCATTCTTGTCGCAAGAGGCGACTAACGGGATCGATTGTCAGACTCGCTGACTTGGTTGATGCATGTATTGCGTTGACCGAGGCTCGTGATGTCAGTCACTGGATT